CTTGTCTGGAACTTAAGAGCCATTAACCGGGGTCATGGTCAGCTGGGAGGACTGTCCAGTCCCATGCCACCTGGGTGGATCGAGCGGACTTGCAGCGAGAAGCAGGTGGGGTTACTGGGAATAAGGTACACATCTCACCGGAAAAGATTAAAGCGTTGATGCTACCAAGACTAGGCAAACGCTCCCTTCATCGCTCACTGGCTGTACCCCCTCCTCTTTTCTCTGTCTGACTTTACACTGTTTGCTTCACGCGGCAGGGACTGGGCCGTTTCTCTATGAAAACCAACTAGCACATTGTGACCAACATGGGGGGAAGAGAGGAAGAGAAGATGGCTTCATGCAACACTCAACGCCGGGTGACCAAAAGGTCCCTGGAAGCTGTGCTCCATGCCTCTCCAAGGCACATATCCTCACCACGCTGCGCATGGGAGTGCAGCCTGCTTCTCTGAGACGAGAACGGGGTGACTGGCATGGGAACGTGCTACATGAACCGGTGCCGGGCACTGCGCAGCCTGTGCAACCCTCATCTGAATCTGCTGCCGTTTCCAGCTAGGGAACTGCATCGCTTCAGCGGAATGAAGCAAATGTGCCAGTTTTTAAAAGGCCGGTAAAGTCTAAGCTTTGTCTCCTCCCAGATCTGAATCACACCATCAGTTGACCACTGGCGACCTTTATGAGAAATGAAGCATCTTAGAGACGCCAGCTTAATGCCCCACTTACTGTGCTGGGTTCGAAAGCTTTTAGGAAAAAACTAATCTAGAGGAAAATGACACCGGAGTAAATTCATGACAAGAACATGGAGAAAAGCTCTGGAAGTTTGGCCCCCTCAGTCATTACTTCTCTTGACGGGCGCAGCTCGTAGCTGAAGAAACAGCAGCGTCACTGTTCCTGCAAGCGAACTCCCCACCTGCTTTGAGGCCAGGACTTCCCAATGGAGCCAATGCTTCTTGTGCCTTGGGCGCATGCTATCGATACATCAGCCATGCACTTGCCTTTGGTGTGACAAACCCACCAGCAACCCAGCCATGGTCCGAAACTCCAGGGTCTCTTCTACCACTGACACACAGAATTTATCTACACAATTCCCACCAGTATGAATGGGAGTCACGCTGGTAAGCTCGCCGCACAGCGATGGGAAGTCAGACGTTATCACATAACTCAGAAGATCACGTAGGGAAGGACAGCAACAGAGGTTTAAGGTGCTGCTACACTAAAGGCATGGGATGAGTGGCCCACAGGAAAGGAGGAGTCAGTGCTCCCAGCGTTTGCATGACTGCTTACCAATCACTCCAAGGCTGGTAAGCCGCAGGTATTCAAATGGACGAGTCTTGCTAACTGTGTGCAAGAAGGGGTACAAGAAGAGAGGGATGTGAGCTGCAAGGAAGGCTGACCTGGAAGAAAAGGCAGAAGACACATTGAACATACACCACGAGAAGCCAAGAGGGCTAAACAGAACACACAATCCAGTAACCGCGCGGTACATCTGCCTCCACCTGACCAGACGTTAACACCCACCGCTCTGGGCGGGCAGGCAAAGTATCCTCCGTTTACAAATGGAGAGAGGGGAAGTGACATGCTCTGGACGGGCAGGCAGGTGATGGGTCACAGGTACGGCTCCCAACGGGCGAAGGATCACACACATCCACATTTCTGTGTTACCCCTTCTCCCCCATTCTGATCCGCCTCTTGTCTCACCCACGTAACAACTGATTTTGTAGGCTGTAGATGCTTTGGTGCAGTGACTTATTTACCAGGTGCATGCCCAGCCCCCGGCCCGATGGGACCTCAATCGGCTTGGCCTCTAGATACTACTACAGTATAAATATTGCACAAGACCGACCGTCACCACAGCACTCAGTCATCCCTGGCTCCCAGCCCCAGAACCCATTTCTGAGAATGGGCTGGAAAGAATTCTGATTGCGGGAAGTCCCCAGAGGAAGAGGTTCCCCTGTTGACATACATTTCCAAAGGTCATCCTAGGGGAGTTCTACTGAACGCACAGGACTGTGTTCAGACTAAACAGAATCCACCCTTCAGATACTGGGCTTGAGTTTCTACATTTTTATGAAGTTATAAAGGAATCCAGTGAAAAATCTGGACTGTTTCCTTGAAGACTAGCTTAAGGAGCAGTGCTGTTAAACCTTGTTTGGCAGAGGCTGAAAGACAGTCTGCTTCCTAATTGTTCCCCCAATTTCGTTACAGGGCCTTATTCACAGGGAGAACGGAAACATGAGAGAACATGGCCATTAGGTCGGATTTCTTCTGGGTTTCAGTCACAGGGCTTTCGGGCAAGCATCTGGATTATTCCTTTCCTTGTTCAAGTAATGGGGACAGTGAGGCCCTAGGATACTGGAGGGACAGTGTTCTCCAGCAAATAAGGCACTTGACTGGGACTCCAGGCGTGGCACTTCCACTGACCTGCTGAGTGACTTTGGGACGTTTTCCCAGGCTGTGCCTCTCTTCCTCCCACCCGCTGTCTTCTCAAATTACACTGCAAGCTCTTATTCGGTGCTAGCACAACAGGGCCCCAATCTCAGCTGGAGTGTCTTGGGGAGACCACGTTTTAGAGAGCGGGGTATTTGAGGAAATCTCAAAATGCAATGTCCTATGTTTGGGGCTTCTGTCAAGCTGCATGCAAAGATCCCCAAAGCCGCTGTTTATCATCTAGTGTCATATGCCACGCTGCCTTTAATGTGGAGGCACTACAAAGAACTTACCCCTTGCCTAGAGCAAACGATTTACCCAGCCCGACACACAGTTTACAGGGACCTCAAGGCTAACCAATATGACTGATGACATTTACCTGGTTTCCGGATGCGACGCAACGCACTGCAGGAGTGCCAGAGCATTGCAGACTCGGTTAGATTGATGGGCTGTCAGGGTTGGCGGGTTGATTGATGGATAAATATTTACAATTTCCTAAGAAAGTTAAACAAAGCAAAATTAAAGGAGAAAACCAGACCAAGCTGCAGAAATACATTCGCCTGATAAGTGGCTGCACGTGCCAGAGAGATGGCTGCCTTCTGTTTGCCACAGCACTGCTGCAAGCATCATTTTAAAAGGAAGTTATGCAACCTGGGGAACTCAAACTTTGCCCAACCGAGGGCTGCACCATGCAAATTGCCAGGTATCAAGGTGATGCATCTACTCTGCATGTAATTAAGCAGATTACAGCTGCCCTTAATTGTTGGTTAGATACTATGGTGACTGATGCCCTGAAAGTACCAACAAACAACAGCGGTGCAGTCCACTGCGCCTAGAAGTCCCAGCATGCAAAGCTCTATCCTGCTCTAGCACATGCTGGGACCTCTGGTCTCCCTGAAGCGAAGACGCTCTGGGTACCAAGAAGGATGAACTGCATGAGCACAGGGGGCAGTTATAAGGACGTGAGTGAGGAGGAAAAGTCTGACCCATGCCTGTCCATTTCTAACTTAAGCTCTTTCTGACTTTCTTCCCTTGCTCCATGCGTATGCTGAACAGGAGTTTCTCAGTGCCCGTCCCTCTTATTTTAATTTAATTCCTCAAAGGAAACCCCCAGGTCTCGTACTCGGAGAGCCAAGCAGCAGCTGTGGAACGTGTTGGACTGCTGAAGAGGCGAACAGGGAGGGACGTGTGTGTTTTTATTCAGAAGGCTCTCTTGCAGTAGGAAGGGTTAAGTGACAGAGAGGTCACTCAGGAAACCCAAGAGACACCACATCAATGAGCAAGCTCTCCCGGTCACCCCCGCAGCACCCGAGCATCATTTCAGGTGCAAAGGAAAAGCACCCACCTGCAGAAGAGCTGCGATTGTGCCAAATGAGTGCCATAGCATTGGGGCCAGGTCAGGGACTGATTCACGCTTCTTACTCAGCTCCAGCAAGGCATTCTCGCGGGTCTCAGGGCTGGACAGCTCATTAATCCACTGATAGATCTTCTCTCTATCCACCTGAGCCAGTGCTGTCGGCACAGGCTTGAGGGGAGACAATAAAACGGGTAAGTACATCACGGTTTTATCGGATTCAAACCAGGCCCTTTTCAATGGAGAGAGACAGATGAAGCCAGGCAGTTAATGCAACCTCAATTAGAGGCGGGAGAAAGCCACAGACCTGCTTTTCTAATAGTGTTCTGGATACAGATAACGGCCTCAGTTCAATGCTTATCATTTCACCTGCCACGAAACATGGACAGGTGGCTTTGCTTCATGGAATAAATCTATCGCTGCTATAGTTTCTCTGTATCCTCTGGCAAAATGTTATCTAGCAACTTCCTTCAGCAACATTCAGCGAATCACACGACTTCACATCTATACACGCAACAGACTAGGACAGGTTATTTTTCATTCTTTTTCCAGTAGAAATCTGTGCTCTATCACGGCGCCAACCCTGTCTACGTTAAGTGTCTTTAGACCCTGCACTCAAAGTGTAAGCATAATAAAAATGTATTTAAAGGAGTACTTAAGACATGTTAGTTTAGAGTCCACTATTTTTATACCTCCCACAAGCTCAAGACAGAAGCTTTTCAACGCAAGCGACGTTCACTCAAAACTACATTAAAATAAGTGTCCCACATAAATGAAAAAAATTCTAATTATTTTATCAACCGCCGCATGGTACAATGGGCATTTTAAAAGTATTGCTAGAGAGACATTGTGCTACAACGAGGTGTTGCACAAATCCATCTTTCTTGTGTCCCCAAGAACGTCAGTCTCTTCCCTAAGTATACACCTCTACCCCGATATAACGCTGTCCTCAGGAGCCAAAATATCTTACTGTGTTATAGGTGAAACCGCGTTATATCGAACTTGCTTTTTTCCGCCGGAGTGCGCAACCCCGCCCCGCCCCCCCCGGAGCGCTGCTTTACTGCATTCTATCCGAATTCATGTTATATCGGGTCGTGTTATAGCGGGGTAGAGGTGTATAACTTAAAGGGAACCCCTTATTAATTTGCTTTGTGGGAAAAATCCTTTCCAGAAAAAGACAGAGAGAACTGAATCTGTACCCACACTCGGGTAATATTTTTAAGATTAAGCACGAGAGTTTTTAAAGATATTTCCTTTCCCACGAGATCAGTGAAAGAGTAACATCTTCAGTAAGTTCTCAGGTAGAAAAGAATCACATTGGGGAATCCAGGATTTTAAGATATCTCTGATTTCCTTTACAGAGGAGCTAAACTTTCATTAAAAAACAAAGTCTCATGCCTTTTTGAATGCTCTTTACAACAGCAATATAAACTAAAGCACTGCTGCTCTATTAAAGTGACAATCTGGTAGTGTAGGTTGAAAATTCAGGTTTAACTAGATATGAATAGGACTATTTTCTTGAAGTTTAGATCAACCAGTTACAGTGTATTTAGATTTAAGCATTCCCTTGCAGTGTCCTCTGCACTCAAGTCTTGCACAAGAACTAGGAAGTGAAATCAACTAGTACCAGAAGTGAAACTGTACAACAGGAACCAATCTTTACAGAACTTTGGAAGTTAGAAATGAGAGATGTGTATTAGGGTTCATCTAATTCTTTGGGATACCATTCCACAGCCTCACTTCTCAATATCAGCAAGTGTTTCCTTATATTTAGGTAAAGCTTTTCCTCTTAATTTCATCCATTGGGCTCAGTTATATCCCAGGCACATTCTAACTCAGGAGCAGGCAAACTTTATGGAGGGGCCACATCGAGTTTCTGTAATTGTATGGAGGGCCAGTTAGGGAAGGCTGTGCCTCCCCAAACAGCTAGGCATGGCTTGGCCCCTGCCCCCTATCTGACCCCCCCCCCGCTTCTCGCCCCCTGATGGCCCCCCCCAGACTACTGCCCCATCCAACCGCCCCCCTGTTCCCTGTCCCCTTACGCCCCCCCCCCCCGGGACCCCCTGCCCCATCCCTCCCTCCCTGTCCCCTGACCGCCCCTGGACCTCCCCGCCCCATCCATCCCTCCCTCCCT